GTGAAAGAGGGAAGGCACTGTCCGGGAATGGGAAAGAACACAAGGCCCATCAAAGCAGGTCCGGGCCTCTACCACGGCTGGGAGACAGTGAGGAGAGTAACCACAACCCTATAAGGTACAATGGAGGATTGAGAGCTCAAGTTTGTGTCGGGGTCCCCAAGGCCACCCCAAGTTCAGTGATTCACTAGGAGGACTCCCAGTACTGAGACTTGTTAAGATTTATTACAACAAAGGGATACAAAACCTAATCAGCAAAGGGAAAAAGCATGTGGGGCAAAACCCAGAAAAAAACCAAACGCAAGCTTCCAAGAGTCCTCTCCCAGCGGAGTCACACAGCCCATGCTTTATTCCTCTAGCAGCGAGTCGTGACAACACCTGTAAAGTATTGCCTACCAGGGGAGCTCATTAGAGACTCAGCACCCAGGTTTTCATTGAAGGCTGGTTACGTAGACATCCTCTGCCTAGCACATACCAAAACTCCAGAGTCCCACAAGGAAAACACGTTCAGCATAAACCACATTGTGTATACAGACAGTTTAGGCACTACCAGCTACCCTTATCAATCGTAGACATCCTCTGCCTAGCACATACCAAAACTCCAGAGTCCCACAAGGAAAACATGTTCAGCATAAACCACATTGTGTATACAGACAGTTTAGGCACTACCAGCTACCCTTATCAATTAGGGAATAGTGAGTGCCCTCCCAAAATCTGTTTCCAAACCCAAGCCAAAAGCTAACCGTGTAAGGCCTTTCTACGGATAGCAGACAGGCCTGCTATGTTAACTCTTCACTGCACAAAGTGAAATAAGTATGAAGGGGCCAGAGAGGCATCCTCAGCACGTGCTGACAACTAGTTAAGTCCACAGAGCAGAGAAGGCAGACATGCAGCACATATAATCCCATTTCCCCACTTGGTGGCCACAGAAGAAACATCACCAATCCATCACAGCACTATTTTCAACTGGGTCAAGACACAGCCTCAGAGTGCTTCTTAACACAGCACTGCTGGCACCCAGGTCCATTCTGTCAAGACTGATAGACAAATCAATGAGAAATTGGTTAACAGACACAAAGAATGATTACATATTGTAATGACAAATAAGCTAACTGTCCTAATTTGACCATCAAATATTGTACACAACTATTAATATTCAACTTTGTATCCCACAAATATGTATAATTTATGCTTCAGTAAAAAAGAAAAAAATATATATCAGCCATCCTTGTGAGAGGTTATGAAACAAAGATAATAAGAATCTGTTACCAGTCAACATTTTTGTGTCTCAACATTGCGTCTTAATAATCACTGCCTTTGTGTTTCATTTGCTTAGTGAGAACAATCCCTGTATAAAGCATTATCACATCAAAGAAACAAATGACAACCCCAAGCGATACTATGTGGCTGAAAAGTATGTGTTTGATTCCATCCCTCTCCTCATCAATTATCACCAACACAATGGCGGAGGTAAGATCTACAGGATAAAGCCAGAGGGGTACCTTCGCCGGACACGTGGTGAAATGTGACAAAAGCCCAGCCTGGTTTCTTCATGTCAGAGAAGCTGAACATAAATAATAACTAAATATACAAATAGAAAAGGATGCCAAATATTTGATTATTCCATTAGCAAACTCTTCTAAGAAAATCATGGAATTTCACCACCTGCCACCTATGCCTATGAATCTTCTGAAGGAGAGTGTGATATCATTGACTGGGCTTCGGGATTTGTTTTCCAGACTAAAAGTAGCTTTTGCATCGTATTATATTTTTCCTTGATTGTTTAACTTAGAATGTTTCTACAGCAAAGCCTAACCACTGCCTTCGGCTTTTCAATCAACCCAGGCCTGGTCACTCGACTGCGGTATCCAGTTTGTTCCAGTAGCCAGAAAGCCCCGGTCACGGCAGGGCTGAGATATGGTGAGCAGCACAATCAGGAATGTTATACATTTGAGCTAAAATTCATGTCCCTAATGGTCTGGGGAAAATTCTGAATGGACTTGCCATAAACCTAACTGTTCCCCAGACTTCCAGTGACCATTAAAACAGGTATACTATATATCTGGAGATGGCAGCACTAATGAACATTTACAATACGTGTGAATAAGAGAAGCGTGCATGTATCTAGGTCAAATTAGTGTCCACTGGTCTTAATAAAGAGGTCATCAGCAAAGTGTTTATTGAGCACCTACTTTGTGCAAAGCACTCTACTAAATGCTATTAGAAAAATATTAGAAAACAATGCCTTAGCACTGTGTGTCCACCTATCTTCTAGAACTTTTGTACCATCTAGTTTGTCGGGCACGGGTCTATCACAAGGGCTGTTGGCATCTATTAGTGTTTGTTAGCATAGCAGAGTCTGTAAAGGGCCACGGGCTCTTCATCCCTAACCAGCACTATGTCTGCACACAGTGGGTACTCAGTACTGTTTGTTGTTGAAAAGAGGTAGAAATCTGCCTGTTTATAGTACCAGACCAAGTGTCAGGAAAAGATAATGCCTCTTATACCCTCTTTACGAAAATAAGGTTATTCTAACAACTGCAGAATCCTGATGTTTCCATACTGAATGGGATCTCAGAGATTATCTGGTCAGCCCACTCATTTTGTCAGTGAGAAAACTAAGGCTCAGATCCTTTTATTTCTTTATTAAACACTCATTGAGAGCCTGTCACGTGCCAGACTGCGCTGGCTTGTGCCTCTGTAAGTCTTCTTTGAATCCACCTTTTTAACCCCCACCCCTGCTAAGGCCTAGCAGAGTGCTGTATACATAGTGGATGCTCTTGATAGATAAATGAATTGTTACAAAGAAAAACTTTAGACAAATTAAATTTAACAGAGTTTGAGCAAAGAATGATTTGTGAATTGGGTAGCCACCAGAACCAGAATAGGCTCAGAGTGACTCTGGGGCTGCTGCTTCCTATGATCAGTAAGATTTATAGACTTGAAAAGGAAAGTGACATACAGAAACAGAAGTGAGGTACAGAAACAGCTGGATCAGTTACAGCTGGGTGTTTGCCTTATCTGTACATGGTTTCAACAGCTGGCTGCCTGTGATTGGCTGAGACTCGGCTACTTGTTACAAGAGTGGGTTACAGTCTGTTTACACATCACGTTAGGTTACAGTTCACTATGTCTGAAGAAACCTTTAGGCCAAACTTAATTTAACAGAATGAGTGAATGAATGATCAGCTCAAATGAAATTTGCTCTATGTGAAAAATGACAATAAAAAATTTACAATCAGGTATGGAAAATGGTTGGGATTTTACAAGAACCCTTCACTTATTTTCTTTAATATCTTGATTAATGCCATCCTCCTTCTTTCCATGTAACCTCCCCACACACTTCTCATGGTTTCAAATGCATATCCTGTGTTATCATTTGGGGAAAAGATAACAATTTACCTATGATAGTTCTAAGTCTAGAACTTACACCATTTGCTATCTTTGAGTTACATTAACAATAGACTAAAATTCTAGTAGGGCTATATAACATTTCTCATGGTTTCATATGCATATCCTGTGTTATCATTTGGGGAAAAGATAACAATTTACCTATGATAGTTCTAAGTCTAGAACTTATACCATTTGCTATCTTTGAGTTACATTAACAATAGACTAAAATTCTAGTAGGGCTATATAACAACTACAACTCCTTGAAGTTGATATGACAAGCAAACAGAAAGGACATTGTTGGGTGGGAGGGAGGAGAGGGAG